TGCACTTAAAAGTTTTTATGATAGCCTAACATTGCCAGAAAATAATTTCTATTCAAAGTAGAGGGGTAAGCGAAAGCTGTGTGTTGCGCGCATCAGATTTTTTCCTATCCATTTTTATTCTGAAACCAATCAATTTTCAGGTATTTGGCTTAATAAGTCATAGTGGAATAATTGATAGCTACGCGCTTCAAACATCATTCAAATTTTAGATGTTTTTCTCTCAATACAAGTAAGTATTGACCAAATAATTAATAGAACACTTTTCATGCCGAATTTTATGAGGAATATTGTTGTTCCTATACATCATTACCACCCAATAAATGGATCTGAACTTAAATAAAAAAACTGACAAAAAGTGTCAAATATGGTGGTGGGAGGGGTGGTTTTCTTGAATTAAGAGATGTTTCATCCATCAGGCAGGTGGGGATTCTTTTGTCCCTTATTCCTGGCCCTAAAAAAGAAAAATTTCTGTGAAGAGCAAATGTCATCATGGGACTAATGGTTAAATAGTTCTGTAGGCAACCGTTAATTCCCGGAGTCCGATGTTTCTTTAGATAATTAAATGCAACAATCATCTCATCTTTATTTGGCGGTTCCAGATCCTCTCCATATTCTTACTAAACATGGGTGTTCTGCTGTACTGTTTCTTCTATTTGTTCTCTATAGAGCTTTTCAAAGTTTTTTTTTTTTTTGTTATTTATTTAATGAAATTTACAACTGTATAATCAATACAACTAGTAAAAATGCACACATTAGAAATAATGACATGAACAGACTTTAAGAGATACTGCCCAGTGGTAGCACTACCTATTTAATTCTAGGTAAGAAGATCACGAGGCCATCTTCTTTTCAGATACCTAGGGGGATTATTAGGAAATGAGGAAGCAGCAAGGCTGGAAACAAGTGGATTCGGATGGGACTGGAATTTATCATGAAAGGATAGGTATCTGGCTCGGGCTAAATCAATGGCGTATAGTCTTTATGAATGGTTTTGTTTGTGACAAATTATAGGGCATTGGGGATTTTACGATGGATTTTGGATTGTAAGGATTTAATACGATAGAAATTCGATGGTTTAGTAGAGCCCTAATGTTCAACTCCGTTTGTCCATATAGATCTTATTATGGTTAAGTGAATGAGTCTTTTGTAATTAATTGAAAGTTAAGAGCATTTGTCTAGTAAGTGTTGGAGCAGTCGGAAACGTTGCGCAGTTTCTTGTCGTTTCAGTCTAGTATGCGGATTCCAGTGAGACGTTTATCCAAGTGGAGTCCTAGGTAGCGGATTTGTTCAACAGGAACAAGTGGAATATCATTGAAGGATATTGTAGAACAAGAAATAGGTTTACGACGAAGAGTAAAGGTAATTTGATGGGATTTATTTTTATTCTCCAGTTATGACACCATTCTTCAAAGTTTGTGATATTTGATTGGAGGGTTTGGGATGCAATTAAAGGTTCATTATTAACAGATAGGATACAAGTGTCATCTGCATAGATGGTGATGACTGTGTTAGGATGGATTGGGATAATATCAGCTGTATAAACTGTATAAAGAATAGGACTGAGGATGCTCCCTTGAGGAACACCAGCAGACTAGGAAAAGATAGATGAACATGCATTATTATGATTTGCTTTGAAGTATCGATCAGTAAGGTATGAACTGATAATGAGGAAGTGTGTAGGTGGTAGGAATTTACGGAGTTTGTACAGCAATCCCGGGTACCAGACTGTCAAACGCCTATTCAACATTGAGAAAGCCTCCTGTACAGTACATTTTGCGCTCCAATGCAGAGAAAGCTACATCTACCACACGATGACATTGTTGGATAGCGGAATCCAAATTAGTGATCAGGGATTATGTTATTAGAATCTAGGATGGGGTATAGGCGTTTTGTTTTTCGAAGTTACTTCTTTATTGTGACAAACAGTCCTCATTGGTGAAGAAGGTGCCATTGTTACTCATACACATTGATGATGTTTGCTTGAATGATCTGCTTTTTTTTTTTTGCTATTTGGAAGAATATTTTGGCATCCTTTGTTCTGTTTTTGAGGTAATTCCTGAACTCAGTCTTAATCCCATTACAGGAATTGATCAATTTATTGAATCTCCAGATTGACCGATGTACACCAATGGACACCAATTTATCCTAATATAAAAAATAACCTGCTGAATTCTAGAGTGTAACACTCACAGAAGGTTATGCATGAAAAATAAAAAAGATATTAGGAAATATTTATATACTCTACTACATTGTTTAGTTTCAAAACAGAAATAAATATACAGGCTGTCCCATTAGTAGAAGGAAACATTTTTCCGATTTTCAGCAGAAAAGTAGGGAATTTAAGTTGTTCTGTGTTTTTAAAAGTAAGTCACGTTTTTTTGAAAAGGAAGTGATAATTAAAGAATTATTTAATTTATGTAATTAACTTTTTCTTCACTGTAAACTAGACAAAATTTACTTTGAATGAAAATTACACCAATTTCAATGAAACTTTTTTGGGGGATACTAGGTTGTAAAATATTTGACTTATTTCCTAGGGTTCCTGCTAATGGGCCCTAGGAGCCGGAAAAAAATATCAAATTTTATTATTTTTTTGTTATACTGTTTTTTTTTTTGTTTTTTTTGGGATACTAGGTAGTAAAATATTTAACCTATGTCCTAGGGTTCCTGCTAATAGGCCCTAGGAGCCAAAAAAAAAAATAAATAAATAAAATTTTATTTATTTTTTTTTGTAATACTGTTTTCTGCTTGGAAGTTCCTCCCGGCTAAGTCCGGTCTGATAAACTTAGCCATCTCGAAAAACCTGGTAATTAAAAGTACTACGTTTAAACATAAAGATATTTATAAATATACTTGGACATCACCGGATTCGCAAACACAAAATCTAGTCGATCATGTCTTGATACAACATAGCTGGCAAAGCAGTATAATTAATGTACGATCTTATCGCGGAGCAGAATGTGGGTTAGATCATGAATTAGTAATCGCGAAATTTCAACAAAAACTTAATATAAAAAGAAGAAAAGAAAACCGTTTCGATTTTGAGAATTTTAATTTGGAAAAATTAAAAAATCCATCAATTAGAATCCAATTCGAGCTAGATGTTAAGAATAGGTTTGAAGCTTTAGAGCTTCCTGACGAGAACCACGAGGATATTGACAAGTTATGGGTAGAGATCAGGAATAATATCAAAGCTGTCGGTAACTAGTGTCTAGGAAAAAAGGAAAATAAGAATAACAAACAGTGGTTTGATGAAGATTGCTTGAACATGTGCGAAAAAAGAAAAGCTCTAAATAATCCGAGCCTCATAAAACGAAACCACAAAATTGCTCAAAAATAAAAAAATGGAGTATCTTAAAAATAAAATAATTGAAATAGAAACTAATAGAATCGAAAAAACCGTAAGAGACATGTACAAAGGTATAAATAGATCACGTAAATGTGTAGGGCCCGTAACGTCTGTAATTAGGTATGATAATAATATTCTGACCGATCCAGTTGACATATTGAATAAGTTTAAGGACCACTTTGACAATATTTTAAATACGGGTAATTATGATCTGTGTTTTCTTCTGAGTACTAAAGTGCTGAACCGTTAATAGAAGGACCCAAGTGAAGAGGAAGTTGAAGTAGCTATCGGAAAATTAAAATCTTATAAAGCAGCTGGAATCGATAATATTCCTACTGAACTAATTAGGGCATGCGGGGAAGCTGGAGTTTCTAAAATACATCGGTTGGTTAAAAAGATCTGGGAGAATGAGAAATTACCTGACAAATGGAAAGAATCTATTCTTATTCCGATTCACAAAATGGGACCAAGGACGGATTGTAATAACTATCGAGGAATTTCACTCCTTCCGGTATGTTATAAAATATTCTCTTTAATCTTCTTAACCAGTCGAATCACGGAATTCGCTGAGGAAATTATCGGAGACTACCAATGCGGATTTAGACTGAATCGTTCGACTATTGATCAAATATTTTCTTTATGGCAAATATTAGATAAAAAATTAGAGTACAACGGTATTGTTCACCAGCTGTATATCATTTATTATCAATTTCAAAAAGGCTTACGATTCTATTGACTGCCAGAAACTGTATAATATTCTAATCGAGGAGGGGATTCCATAAAAACTAGTAAATCTAGTCAGGATGTGCTTGACGGAAACACTCAATAAAGTTAGAATCGGTAATAATCTGCCCAAAAAATTTAAGTTTCGTTTGGGTTTAAAACAGGGGGATTCTCTTTCACCTGTCCTGTTCAGTATGGCAGTTAGAACATGCCATTAGGGATGTAATGCATACCAAAAAAAGGGTTGGATCTGGGTGGGACAACATCTGTGAAAAAAATCCTCCCATAAAATTAAGTAAAAAAATTTATATTTTTTTATTACAAAACAAGCTCATAATTAAGAGTTTTAGTGTACCCTGAAAAAAGAATCTGAATCATTTTTTCATGATAAAAATCTGCTTGGCCTATTTTACTAAATATGTTTTTGTAATTTATTATATATACAAATTTGTTTAATACAATTAGCAATATGTTTTTCTTATTTTACACAAAAAAGCAAATAGATCGATGTATAATGACATATAAATCCATACAGATCAAAGTCAGAAAACAGTAAGTATTACAAAAAAATAAAATAAAATTTTATGAAATAGTTTTTTTCTTGGCTCCTAGTGCCCATTATCAAGAACCCTCGAACATGGATCAAATATTTTAGGACCAAGTATCACCAAAAAAAGTTTCATTAAAAAATTTGAAATTCACCATAAGTTTGTAAAAAATTATGTGATTTTATATCCTGTCGTCTAAAAGCACACCCGTTTTTTCACCAAAAATGACTACAATTAAATGTTGGGAAGATGTAATTTCTTCTTTTTTCATAATCTGGGATTTATTATAATAAACATAATTCTATCTCTACCTACTTTTTGTATTATATTTGATAATAACTTCAAAAATTCATATGTAACTGATCATTTTTTTATTTTAGGCTTGAAAAGAAGACTAAAGATTGTAATATTCTCCAGACTTCACTTTCTGTCAGTGAAAATAGACTTGCAGATCTCACAACAAAATATAATCAACTGCAAGGTGAAAGGAAGAAGCTTGCAGATGAAAACAAGGTTTATCAAATTTAATCTATTTATGGCTAGTTTTGATCAAAAGGCTTTATAAAAGATTTATTTTTATAAAGTACTTCTTAGTGAATAATTAATTATTGCAATATTTAGTTTCAAGTTATTCTTTGTTTGATTTTATTGAGCATCAAATAAGCACTCATGAAGTTAGTAATTTGGAAATTATACAATAAATGTTTAGATTGTATTAATTTCCAACTTTATCTTTAACCTTTTGACTGTGGGACCTCATACAAGTGTTTCTTCCAGATGGCGGGTCCCGAAATCCAAAAAGGCATTCAGAAAAACAAATTTTTTTTCCCACTTAAGTTTGTTTAAATACTATTTTGAGTCACTCTGAAAGATATTAGCTTTCAAAAATGGTGGAAGTGGGGCTTGTCCCTACTTCTTAAAGGAAAACAGCCAAGGCGGGAAGTCTGCCAGGTGACCTAACTCCTAATGGAAAGCAGATACCCCTCCGCAGTCAAAGTGGTCAAGCTATAAACATGAATATTTCACATTCCTCTAGTCGTTTATTTTGTTATAATATTACTGGGTGCTAGCTATATTTAAATATTTGTGCTGTTTTATATCCCCAATGATGTAGACATGACTATTGACATAAATAAGTGTTAAAAGTGGTGAGATAATGAATACAGAAGGCACAAAACTTGTTAACAATGGAACAATAAAAGAACTAAACAATTCTGACTCTTACAAAAATTTAGGTTTCGGCCGACTTTTAAAATTCAAGAAAAGTAATAAAGATAATTGTTAACACTGCATACTTGTATCTTTATTTTTGTTCGTTATTATTTTGTCTCACCATTTTTACCCTTTTTGAATGTTCATTTAATAAGTATTTATTTATTTTTTTGGTAAAAAACTGAGGGATGGTTGTCCCCAAAATGTATCTCAGTGTATTTTATATATATATATTTAGCTTCATTCGCTGTGTATTATCGCATGTGTATACACTCCAGTCCAGCAGTAATACTCAGTCTTAGGGATCAAGAGGACCAAAATATTGCGATAAGACTGTTGGAAATTCAGTCTGGAGCGAATATTATATTTATGTTTATTTTTATTTCAATGAACATTTGCATTATTGTTTATTTTGTTTGTTTTAACTTTCATATATATTTATATCTCTTTTTTTTTATTCAATAAATAATGTAAAATTTCAAAAGGGGGATTATTTATTTATTTTCCGTTTTCATTAATAAATATTTTTATTTAATATTATTTGATGTGCATGTGTTTTAACCTTGTTTCACTGGTCTCATTTTTTTTTCCCTTCTTTCCCATCGTTTAATTTTACTCGTATTTTCCTCACCTTTGAGAAAACTCACCGGGAAAAGATTTGTGTTTCATTTTGAAATACCCCTGGCCCCAACAATAATTATTAATAAGAATTTAAGTAAATAAAATTTAAAAAAGCTGTTCATAACCTACCTCTCATTAAATAAAGCAATAAATACATGGGCTATTCCTGTGTTGACTTTGGCTATTCCTGTTATACCTTTGGCATTCTAAAGTGGTTTAATACAGAGCTGGATGAAGTTATGCGTTGGGTAAGAGTTCTTTTTAACTCAACCAGGAAATGACATCCCAAATTGAGAGGATGTACATGCCTTGAAAGGAAGAAAGAAGGTGACTTGTCTGTTTATTAAGAAGCTGTAGAGAGCAAGAAAATAATTTTAGGTGTACTTTCCAACTAAAAAACTCGTGTATGGTCCACAATAAAATTGCTGGGTAATGCCTACACAGCTTTAAACTTAGTTTTAACGGAATATTAAGAATTCCCTACCGAAGAAAATCTGATTGAAAGTTGGAAGAGTAAAGCACTTCATGGTCGTTTTTACAATGCTTTATCTCAATCAGGAATTAACTGGGAGACCTCTATTAATTGACTTAAAAAAAGGATACTTATTTCTTGAAACTGAAGGGTTTATTTTAGTTAGCAATTCAGAACCAGGCAATATCCAACAATGCTTAACTAAAAATATATAAGTGGAGATGTAAGTGGTGGGCTGAGTGTATATGACCGAGCTCACCTATGTAAAAATATGATTGAGTCAATCCAGCATATTTCATCAGAATGTCAAGCGTTGGCAGAGAAAGAATATCTGATGAGACAAAATAATCTGGCTATGATTTTTCACCAAGCACTTATTAAATAACATAAAAGGTTCCTTATTATTGATATGAGTCCAAACTGGTACTGTCAGAAGAAAATAGAACTATATATTGGGATTGATCTATAATTATCGACCACGCAGTGGTAATTATTAAACCTTACATTGTATTAATTGATCAGAAGACAAAAAGTGTCTATGTTGTTGATATTGTGGTCCCAACCGATGGTAATATCGGAGAAAATTTCCAAAAAGAGTATGAAATATCAAGATTTGTTCCAAGAGCTTCATCAACTTTACCGACTGAATCAAGTACAGGTTTATCCTATCGTAATTTTCAGCAATAGCCTCATCCCAGATGATACCATTTACTCTGTTGAACATTTGAATCTGCCTGAAAAAGTGTTGGAAGAAGAGCAAGAAGTAGTTCTCCTCAACACAGAGAACATCGTCAGGAAGTTCTTAAACATAGTTTACGTTTGAGCCTAACCCTTGACCTTGCACCGGTTAGGTAAATATTTCTGGCAAAAGGCAAGAAAGTGCGAAATTTGAAAAAAATAATAATAATAAACCGTTGTGTAATAATTTGCATTTTTTTTTTTTTTTTTTTTTTTGTTATATAATCTTTGACAATTGGGGATAAGATAAGAAAATCGGTTGACATATTGTCAAGGTTCCAGTGTATCATCCGAAGCGGGACATTCACGTGTCCCTGTATAAATCCTAGGGACACTAGACTAAATTTCTTAATAATGGGACTGTCAAAAGCAATGTGTCAGGTTGCAAACTTTTGGAATGAAAATTCTTACTATACATCATTCTTGATAATTTTCAAAAAAACCCTCAACACATTAGACTCCACTAGCACCCACCCACCAGCGATACACCCTCCTCAGGTTGCTCCCTCAATTCCATGAGTGGAAGCTGAAGTTCACCCTTCCTCTTCTACCTAAGGAACTTTTGAAGCAGAACCAACTTCGAGCGGCTTCTTCTCAAACATCTTGAGTGTAACCTTGGCAACACAGTAAATTACCATCATATTCCTGCCCTCAAGGTGCTTGATACTAGTTTCGGGGATCCGAAGGATTCCGTTAAATCCATACTTCTCCGCCTTGGTTTCCAACACCTGTGTCTATCAATGTTTGGGGCTCTGCCATTTTGAATCCGGAGTCTCCTTAAAAATAGGTTCTTCTCTCCAGGGGAGTATGCCCCTACACTGATAGTGAAGCTCTTCACTACATTATATATCCTGTCCTTGATGGCCTGATCATCACAAATGATGATACAGCCATCGAGATGATGACTTAAGCCACTAAACTCAGGGATGATGCCATCCACCTCCAACTGATCACCTGGGATTTCTCCTCCACAAGGAGGTGACAGTAGGCGTAGATAGGTATAGGGAGGACTGAGAAACTGAGAAGTCATAAGCAGTAGGGCACTATTGCTTGATCATTTCACAAGGAGTGGGAGAGATTCCTCTCCAGCCCTCCTGTTATCCTACCCATTTGTACCCCAAATACTATAAATTTAGTTTTTTTTTAAAAAGTTCCTCCGATCACATAATGATATACCATAATTTTGAAGAAATTTTAAAATCATTATTGTTTTCATGAAATGTGTCTCTGATAGCTTAATAGTGGACCATAATGTAGTTTCAGTAAAAAATAAAATAAACTGTCGATTATTCATTATTTTATCCATCAATAATAACTTTATAATGAATAATTCCAAAAACCTATTAGTGTATAAAAATTCATGGAAAAAATTATTCTATTAAAAATTCATTCAATTATGTCCATAACCATCCAATTTGATAATGAAGGACATTAGCCTCTTAGCGATTAATGATTACCCTACCTTGATTTCTTTTGTGTAGATAATGAAACTTTTAAAAGTTATGTCAATTTCGATTTAACTTTCATTAACAATGAGTTTGTTACACTGACTGTTGTTTAGCTTACTACTGAAATCAGGTCCCATCTTTCTCTTCTATCTATAATTGATTTCTGAACAACTCAGGTAAGAACATCTACACTTATTTCCTAATTTAAGGGATGAGCTGCAGATACCATAATTTGACCCCAAAAAGTTAACTTAATTTTTCTTTTCTTCATAATGAAGATGTGTGATAGTCATCTGTTGGACCACATTTGTCCAGTTGAGTATTAAGAATGGTAATAAACCTACTTTACACACCATGCTATCAACTATTTCCAAAACAAAACTTTTTGTGGTATGATCACTTGGAAAAAAGAAAAATTAAATATATTAATGCTGTTTCCCCATTATAGGAAAGATATATAGTTCTTTAAATAAATATTCCTGATACCTTTAATTTACATAAGTTCTTCTAGTCATTTAATCTATATAGATGAGTCATTAAAAAAATTTCTTAACATATTTTAGGCATTGGAAAATGAAAGAAATAAACTTTCAATCCAGTTATCAGATACACGAAAACATTTGGAGGAAGAAACTCTCCAGAGAGTAGATCTAGAAAATGCTGTGCAAACCTTACGTGAAGATTTTTCATTCAAAGAACAGGTAGGTTATTGTTATTTACCTTCAATATAGTTATTACAATTTAATACATTATAACATCATTCTTTTATATCTGTAATTTTTAATTAGTGTATCATTCCACAATATCTGTTGATGACGTTCTTCATTAAATATTCCTCTTATCATTTTACTTTCACTTACCTATATATATATATATATATATATATATATATATATATATATATATATATATATATATATATATATAATATATATAGCAAGGGAAAGTATTGCGATTGTGAAAATTTTTGAATCTGAGTTTTTAACAGACATACATGTTTTGAGGTCTCCTGAGTCCAAATAACCAAGTCCCACAAAATGGTCTGTGTGTGTTAACAGTCTGGTTAAAAAACAAAAAGTCATATGAAAATGAAATTGCATATTTATAGTTTGTATTTATTTATTTTTATTTGTCTAAGCAAATTCTTGTACAAATAAATATATAGGTATTATTCACAATGTAAGATTTTAGAGTCTAGTATTGTGTTCCAATATAATATTAACAATATCTATAGATTTAAATATAATTAATAGTTTAGTAAACAATTTATAAAAATATATAATCAATAAAACAATTTTTTTAATATATTCTAGAGGTATTGAATAAATAACTATACAAATATGCATCAACACCTGTTTGTAGTTATTAACAGTTCAATGAACATCCTTTTAAAATAATATAGTTGATTTAATTTGTCCATAGTGTCTGTTTTTAATATATTCTCTACACTAATGTCTTTCCTGGATTCAACAATTAATGTGACATAAAAATAAATAAATATACTTGGGATGTTACGTAAACTTTTTCACATAATTGGCCAACTGGAAGTGGCACTTAATATAATTGGTTTTACGATTTTCTCAAAAGGAAATTAAATTTTTAAATGTAAGTTATGTAACAACACTGTTGCAACCTTCAATGTGTTATCTAGTAACATATGATTGAAATAGTGATTACTAATTTGTACTAGTGAAAATACTTGTAATTTCATTCTTTATACAGAAAGAATAAAATTTGTTAAAACAATCTTACATATATATCAGTACTTAAACAAGTAAAATTAAATATAGCAATGAAATATAGCAGTCTTCTGTATGACAATGAAATATAACTTTCTTCTTTGTAACAATGAAATATAGCAGTCTTCTTTATCAATGGCACTTTGTCGGTCTACCTTCTATGATTAAATGCAGTCTGTTTAATTGAGAAACACTGAGGAACTTTTGTTTTGACAGTAATGGGCAATAGAAGTGTCCATTGTCTAGAAATGTTTTAGTTACAGTAGAATCTTGCTAATATGGCTCTGATTGAATCAGTGGGTATGGCAGAATGTATTAGACTAGAAATCCACTGGAACCATCAACAGTCAAATGTGGAGCTCTTTTCATATGAATGGCCGAGGAACCGAATGTAGAACCACTAGAGTCAACATTTGGCCTTCAGTTGCCAGTTTGCTTAGTGTTATAGGCTAAATTAAATATTTAAATAAATGTGATGATTTCTATAGTTGAAAATATTAATTAATTATAATGTCGCTATTAAATGAACTTGTAAATTAGATAAAGCCTTTTTTAATTAGTAAAATTATTTGCGCTGTTTCAATTCTATACTATGAAAACAAAAAAATTAAAAATCTAAGATCATGTATATAATTAAAATCTTCATTATTTAAATTGCATATTAGTCTTTCTAGAAACAGTTTCCTCTGTAAGGTAGTAATTTTCGTGATGCATATTTTACTAGGTAGGCTATTCTTAAACAGTACTTGTTAGGTTTTTAGCATCCATGGTAAAACTAATAAAAAAGTACCTTATACAAAATTTAACCTTCTCCTATTATTAAGCCGTTCTTCTGAATGTGACCAAAAAATTCCATCTCTATTGAATTGAACTGTCATTCAGCCAAATAAGAATGTATAGTAGACATGCTCAAATGTTTCCCCTATATGTATGATCTTTCAATTCACTCCGGCTGGCTCATTTGTAGCTGCGGTCTCATACTTTATCAATAGATGTTGAAGTTATTGTTCTTTTGATTGCTCCACAATCCTATTGGCAACATTAAAGTTCTTTCCATTCATTGAAGGAAACCAAACTATTCAGCTGCATCAAACAATGATTTTTTTCTCAAGTGCATGTTATATCATTCATATTTGTTCTTAGATGTCTTTAACCCACCTTTTGCATTCTAAAACAAAAATATTCTTTGAATCAAGGTTTGACATGCTCTGTCCATGTATAATGACAGAATCAGTTTTAGTGTTGGACAATGCAATGCATGAATAAGATATAACATCTATGAAAACAAAACAATTTCTGCTCTACCCTATCCTAATGTTGTTATAATAACTTAACAATTCGCTCATGGTATCTGTATCATTCGGGTTTTTCTGTCTGGACTTCTAGCTCGAGATCCAGATTGATGAAACAATAATTTCATGATTTTCTTATTACAAGAGATTTTCAGAGTCTGCCTACATATTTGTAAATAACAATAAAATCAAATATTCTTTTTTAAAATTTCTACTCTTAGCATCTCTCATTTTCAGACTGATGTTCTCAGGAAAAGCTATAAAAAAAGTAGATAGATAGTTTATTGGCTAATATATATATATATATCTTTTAGCCATGTAATTTGGCCCATTTGGTGTTAGTAGTTGTTAGTATGACAATGAAAGCATATATAAGCAAATATAAATACGTATTCCTAGGTAAATTCCTATTGCTTACATTAACATCTTAGTATAATTTAATAATACAACAAATTAAATTTTGTTTATTCCTAATAAATAATTGAATAGATATTCCTAATACTATATAGATAATTAAATAGTTATTCCTAATACAACATAAAAAAGTGCACATCTTAATATAATTTAAAAATATAATGAATTAACATTTCAAGCCTCGCCCTTGACCATGCACCTTTTGTATTTGTTTTTGTATTTATTAAGTAGAATTTGGTTTATCACACAAATTATGTAGATTCGCTATTACTTTAAGTATATATAGTTTTTAACCAAAAGAGATAGGTCTTATTTAGTTTATCCACACTATCAATATTTAGAAGATTTTCTAAGGATGATTGTTTACTGTTTTGAACAATATAATTTCCCAGGTAATTTTCCCTGTCAATACTCAGTGTGGAACATTGAATAACAAGTGTTCTAAGTTTTAGGAGATATATTCTCAACACCATCTACATTTTTCCCCTGTTTTTATAATACAAGCAGTATTCTTATTATAAAGTTTCAACTTTTCATTATCTGAAATACTTAATTGGCTAACGAGTTTCTGTTTATTTATATTTACATGATAAGTTAAATATTCTTGCGTTGAGGAATGTTAAAGGTACAAATAGTTCTGTAAAGTGGGTTGTATTTACAGTTGAGAGCTTCATCAATATCTATAGAGTAGAGATGAATCTTTACTTTTTCAATAATTATACCTTTATTAGTAAGTAACTTGGTTTTATATCTTCAAAAAGGTTGTCTTAAATATAATTATTTGCTGCTATGTTTTTAATTTATGAGATCCAATTATAACCTTTGTCTCTTTTTTGTATGAAAATTAATGCTATAAAAAAATTATATATATATATATATATATATAAAATCCTGTTTGGTTCATTATTTATTTTGTTGTTGTTTTTTTTAATACAGTTACATGAACAGCAGTTATTGGAAACTCGTACTAAAAAACAAGTGGAAATAAGCGAACTTGATGGTAGATTAACCCAGGAGTATGAAGAAAGATTATACCAGAGTCTCCAAGAAATACGCGATCAATATGAATGTGATATTGAAAATAACAAGGAAGAGATTAAAAAACTGTATGAGGAAAAAGTAAGTATATTAGGATACATCTTCTTCTTTTTTTTTAATTGGAAATGCTTGTGATTTGTAAAATAAACAAATGATATAAGTTGGAAGGTGGGTGATTTTATGTGTTAATTTTGCTTTACCTTACAGTTTCGATTATTTTTGTATGAAATATATTGTAACGGTAAGTATTGTGATCATAAAACATTTCGAATCCAAGTTTTAATAGAAATGCTCGTTTTGAGGGTCCCTAAGTCTTCCTCAGACTTTGTGAAGCCATCTTCATTTTATGTGTGTCTTTTTTTTGGCTGATTTTCAAATATTTACTGCAAAAAATGTAATCTTACTCAATTATCTTTAAAATAAATAAATAAAATAAGCCCTCAAAACCAGTTACCATAATATATTATTCACTGTCCATAACTAGTAATTGTCGCCAACAGACACAATATACACATATTACACATGACAAAATCTAGTATATATCGTATTTAGATTTATAACAGTATTAATACACTAGAAAAAAATCTACTATGTTTTAGCAGTAAGAAAAAAACAAACTGAAAATGTATGTTAATTAAAATGACAAAATTCAAAACAGAGTTTTTATAAAAGTTGAATCCCAATCAGAAGATACGTACCCTCAAAGACAAGAATTGATAAAATAATTCCTTAACAGTCCTCACAGTTAAAACCACTTATATTATACAAAAGAAGTATTGCATAGCACTTTTTTAGGAAAATGTTTTATAGAAAAATGGGACAGAGATGCAGGAGTGAGATTCACTAGTTAGTGATAAAATAACTTTGATCAATCTTCATGAATATATCAAGTTGTAATTATGTCTTCATGAGGTTAGATTATTAGACCTCTACCTTTGTGTAAGCTCTGTATGACAAATAAATTAATTCAATCCAACTCAAAATAAAAAATAAACTTAAATTATGTTATGAAGAGAAGAATAGTTGGGGTGGTCAGTCAAAAAGGAAGGCAAAAATAAATGATAATATTTATTTTTACATATGCCGACATTTCGACCTGAAGTTCAGGCCTTCATCAGGGCTAAGAAAATAACCAGATAACAAGGTATGAGAAACATAAGTAGTGATGGTAAAAAAAATATATATATATATATATAAATAAAATAATAAAAAATAAAATAAATAAATATAAAGTAAAATGAAATGGTTAGAATAATGACTAAGAACTAAGAGATAAATAATAATAACCGTTACAAAGTGTGGAATGATGAAGTAGGCATAATCAAAAAGGGTGACATAAGTGTTACAATGGGAATCTTAGAATAAAATGTAAAACATAAAAAAAAAATATGAATTTATATAAGAAATGAAAATAAATAGTAAAATTAAGACATTGAGAATGGAGTAGTTAGATAGAAAATTGAGAATAAAAAAAAAATAAAAATAAATAAACATTATCATTTATTTTTACCTTCCTTTTTGACTGACCACCCCAACTATTCTTCTCTTCATTATCCACGACAGGCAACCAATTACCAATTTTAAATTATTTTATGGATGATTTATATTTCATGAGTTTGATTTATTTAAATACATTATATTCCAATACAATTAGTAATTTCTTTGACAAATCTTGTAGGAGGTTGCTAGTTAAATGTTAGCCTATAATTATTTTTTTTACATTGTTTCCAAAGTTACAAATTATCTAAAAGATTTATTTCTGTAATGTTCATTAAATATCACTTCACATATTTTCTTTAGATCCGCAGTCTTGGTAGTCAATTGACACGGAACAGCAATGCAGCAGCAATGGCTATTGAAGAAATGAAAAATATGCAAGCTAAACTTAATGAGCTTAATAGGAAATTACTTGACTTAGAAGCTGACAGAAATGCAGCCCAGGTTTATATTTTTTTATTCTCTGATTATTATAATTATTTAAAAATTATAATACTTCATATTTCATATAAAAGCTTCAAAGCAACATTGTTAATCTAACTATGATCATTAATCAAACAGTGAAGATTATGTTGTATTAGTGTTTCATTCTATTTTTATTGGGTTACAGCAAAAGGCTAGAGATTTGGAAAAGATTTTGGAACAGGCTAAAGCTCAATATATGGAAGAATATAGTCAGAGAGAAGCTGAAATCACAACTCTTCGTGAAGAGATGGCTCACCAAGTTCAAGAATATCAAGATTTAATGGATATCAAAGTTGCATTAGATTTAGAAATAGCAGCTTATCGAAAGTTACTTGAAGGAGAAGAAGCTAGGTAATGGCTTATGTCTTACTCCTCATTATCTAGTGTTTGAGAAGGAGTTAGTCGGGGGTGCGGTAAGATAAATACTAAATTAAAATATAGTAATTATTTTATTTTAATTTTGCCGACGTTTCGACCCACTTTGCAGGTCGTCTTCAGGGCTACAAAAGATATAAAACATGTTGAGAATAAAAATTAAATATAAGTAGATATAAAATAAGAAGAAGTTGTCAGATATAGAAATAAAAGATGATATCAGAGATATAGTGGGTGACAATGTAGTAAAATATTAAGTATTATATATGTAGAAGATACAAATAAATGGAAAATAAGTATGAATAAAAATAAAAATAAAGGAGAATATAGCACGTAAGTTAAAAGTAAACAGATTGCGATAAAATATAAGGAATAAATGTATAACAAACTAATAGAGATTACATTAGATAACTGTGGGTTTAACAGATACATAAAATGAATGTTAACTAATAAATAGATTGAAAATTGAATAAGTAATGTTACAGTAAAGTTAAAATAAGAATAAGATAACATAATAATAAGATATCATTGGATAACAAGCAAGTGGAGGTTACCTTTAATTGTAAGTAAAGAGATAACGGGACTAAAGGTTAAGAAGTGAAGAAATTGAAAGATTAACAGGGTAACATTAGTGCAATATCGTTAGGATAGATTATTAAGTATAAATAACTATAAGAAAACAATAATTTTGAAAGAGGACTTTAAAATGTAAGAATAAATGTCAAACAAGGTTATGATGATAAAGAAACAAAAACAAGTTGTACTATCTATAGATGACAATTGACATTCAGTTTTTTGAAAGCGGTAATGGAATAGTAGGCTGCATGAAGATAATAATAAGGTGTATAGTTAAAGGATAGGTGTGTTAAGAAAAGAATCATAATAAAAGTCAAAACATACCGTAGGATGTAGCACTGCGGGAGGCAGTTGAAACACTGGCAGTATAAAAAAAAAGCTCTACTAAGCAGTGTCAAAAAAAGTTCTAGTAGAAATAAATACATACATATATATATATATATATATATATATATATATATATATATATATATATATATATATATATATATATGTATTTATGTATTTATTTCTACTAGAACTTTTTTTGACACTGCTTAGTAGAGCTTTTTTTTTATACTGCCAGTGTTTCAACTGCCTATATATATATATATATATATATATATATATACATACATACATACATACATACATATATATAAACAAAAACAGATACATATATATATATATATATATATATATATATATATATATATATATATGTATCTGTTTTTGTTTATATATATGTATGTATGTATGTGTGTGTGTGTATTTATGTATTTATTTTTACTAGAACTATTTTTTGACACTGCTTACTAGAGCTTTTTTTTTTTTATACTGCCAGTGTTTCAACTGCCTCCCGCAGTGCTACATCCTACGGTATGTTTTTGACTTTTATTATGATTCTTTTCTTAACACACCTATCCTTTAACTATACACCTTATTATTATCTTCATGCAGCCTACTATTCCATTACGGCTTTCAAAAAACAGAATGTCAATTGTCATCTATATATAGTACAACTTGTTTTTGTTTCTTTATCATCATAACCTTGTTTTACATTTATTCTTACATTTTAAAGTTCTCTTTCAAAATTATTGTTTTCTTATAGAGTTATTTACACTTAATAATCTATCCTAACGATATTACACTAATGTTACCCTGTTAATCTTTCAATTTCTTCACTTCTTAACCTTAAGTCCCGTTATCTGTTTACTTACAATTAAAGGTAACCTCCACTTGCTTGTTATCCACTGATATCTTATTATTATGTTATCTTATTCTTATTCTAACTTTACTGTAACATTACTTATTCAATTTTCAATCTATTTATTAGTTAACATTCATTTTATGTATCTGTTAAACCCACAGTTATCTAATGTAATCTCTATTAGTTTGTTATACACTTATTGCTTAACTTTTATCGCAATCTGTTTACTTTTAACTTACATGCTATATTCTCCTTTATTTTTATTTTTATTCATACTTATTTTCCATTTATTTGTATCTTCTACATATATAATACTTAATATTTTACTACATTATCACCCACTATATCTCTGATATCATCTTTTATTTCAGTATCTGACAACTTCTTATTTTATATCTACTTATATTTAATTTTTATTCTCAATATGTTTTGTATCTTTTGTAGCCCTGAAGACGACCTGCAAAGTGGGTCGAAACGTCGGCAAAATTAAAATAAAATAATTAATATATTTTAATTTAGTATTTATCTTACCGCACCCCTGACTAACTCCTACTCATATTATATCAATGGTCAACCATCTCTACATCATTATCTAGTGTCATTTTGTAAGTCTTTAATTGTTAGGAGATTCTGCATTATACAGCAAAAACTCTCAAATGGACAGCTATGAGTCCATTTGTTTCTAGCAGAGGGGTGTCAACTGGGAAGCAGTATTAAATAATGAAAATGAACATACGGACATGTTTATTAGAATGAATAAAGCTAATTAATTTTTTTTTTATTTACAACCTGAGTCATACATCGTCACCAAATATAAGTTTCTGCATCTTCTGCCCCATAGTTTCCTTCATGCCTTCCTCTGTTCGTCATTTCTTTACTGATCTGACACCCTCAAACGATTTTCTCTTTAGACAATATTCTGTTTACTATCTGGTCTTCATTCCAAAATTCTTTTAGGCCATTATTCTTCTTCCATCCTTATCATATGCCTAAATCATTTCAGCCTTATTGTTTCAAATGTGTAGTCTTATTTCAATATTTGGAATTGTTTGAAGCCAAGAGATACCTCATGATCGCCTCTTAACCAAATTTCACACCCTAAACAGATTTAAGATTCTAGTAATGATCTTCCTGTTGCTTGTGATTTGGTCAATGTTTATATCTGTTGTTCTTTTATGATTTACCTAGCTTCCTAGATACTTGAACTGAACTTTAGGTTTCATAATTGATGCCTCCATTTGTAATCTGCCTTGGCTATTAAAGGCCCATGATTATACCATTTTTTTCTTTGCTGTTATCTACTATTCCTGACGAATTTTTCTCATTACATTCTCTACATCTAAAGCGATGAAAACTTGGTTATTTTCAGATAGGAGATTAAATTAATGAAGCTAATATATTTTTTGATTTTTTAATAGAAATTTACTATATCTACTTTGTCTTATATAAAAAAGTTACTTGATGCCACCTCAAAGACAAAAGAAATATTGATTTTTTTACTTTCATTTAGCTATATGAAATTTATAGTAAAGGAAAGTATTGTGATTGTGATAATTTTGGAATCTATGTTTTCAATGGAAATATGCATTTTAAGGTCTCCTGCTTTGAAATAACAGAGTTTTACAAAATGGTTGTGAACCTGTTTTTTTTTTTTTTTTTTAATGAGAGTATGTGGAAATATTCAAAAGACAAGAACAGACCCATTCCTATCCTCATATGGGATTGTTTTTCACCCTCCACGGGACTACCATTTGGCATTATTTAATGAAAGGGGAGTGGCTACCTGTCTCCTCATTTTGTGACTGGCTGGCCTCTTCCTTCTCACTTCTTAGTCTCTTGATAACCTGTGCTTCTAGACATTGTCTTCTAGCCATTTTATTCCTAAAACGTTAATTTAGTAGCTTCCGCATATCTTATTAGGCTTATCGGATTCATTAACTCATAACTTCTGCGGTTGTTCACTCGGCCCTCCCCAAATAGCTCAAGTCTAAACCTTGCAAACCTATCACATCCACAGATGATGTGAAAGGCTGTTTCATTCTCCTTCTGACAGAATCTGCATAGCAGGTTCCTAGTTACTCAGAGATTGAACATGTGGTAGTTTAACTTACACTCAGTAGCAGCTTGCTTCTTTTACCTCATGGTCCTTTAAGGAACAGCTTCGAATGTTGTTTTTTGTTGGTCCATTGTTGTTTAAATGTTTCACCATATAGCTCTCTAATCCTTTTGGCAGTACTAAAATTGATTCCGCAAACTGGTTCAGGAGTTATAGGAATAGTGTCTGAGCCTAACCTGACTAGTTTGTCTTCTTCTTCGTTACCGGGAATGCCCGAATGTCCAGTCACCCACTCAATTGCAACTCTGTTAAGCTCAAACAGATTGTTAAGCGTTATACTGCAGTCTTTAACAACCTTTGAGTAAGTATAGAGATTATTTAGAGCACCTGTTGCTGCTTGACTGTCTATTATAGATTATTTTGTTTTTTCCAGTCACTTAGCCTTGCAATAGGTTTTGAGTGCAATGGCCAATTTCCAGTACTTCAGATTGAAATACTGAAGCATATTTGCCAAGAGGAATTGAATCTTTTCTTTTGTTGTCTTTACGATAGAATCCTACTCCTGAGCCATAAGCTGTTAGAGACCCATCCAACAATTTATACCATTTTTTTGTTTATGTTGTCTGCTGATATCAATCTTGACTTCATATTTGCTGTTCAGATACTCATGGATTTGTAATTCTGAGTACATGGCAGCTGTTTGGTATGTCTCCCCTGTCCAAAGATATAGGGGCAGCTTTTGAGCTCACATAGCCTGTATAATGCACCTGTTGCCTGAACCTCAACCTCCAACTGCAATAGTGGCATGCTCAACATTATCTCCATGGCAGCAGTTGGGGTGGAGATCATTGATCGTGTTATCATTAGACAGGCTAATCTTTGTATCTTTCCTAATAAGGTTAAGTTAACAAAAATCTTTGATCTATGTCACCATAGCAAAGCTCAGTATAGTATAATGGGTCTGACTGTCGTTATGTACAGCCAATAGACCATTTTAGGTTTGAGTCCCTAATTCTTTCCTATTGCTCTTTTTCAGGCCCATAGGCATTTGAGGGCTTTACTTGTCACATACTAAACATTTTTAGTCTATGACAATTTATGGTCGAATATGACTCCAAGTTGTTTTACTTCTTTGCTGTGTGTCAGTTAAATCCTATTCATCTTGGGCATTTTTATAAACACCTTTTGCTACTTAGTGAAACACTGGCTTTCTGTGGGTTAATGCTGAGCCCATTAGTGCTGCACCTTAGGATATTAGTTACTGTTTTGAGGATATCAGAGAGAACACTCTTATACTTCCCTCCAATTAGGTTAGCAATGTCATCAGCATATCCTCGTGTATATATTCCCTTCAGTTTTAAGGGCTTCCAACAAAGAGTCACCACCTCTCCAACAAGTAAACACCACAGTAGAGGGGAGAGCACACCTCTTTGTGGACACCCACCGCAGGGTTTAATCCACAGTTCCTTCTGCCCTAGTTCCAATTTTAGGATTCTATCCTCCCGATCCATCTAGAGGACATAGGTTCCACATCTTTCTTCCTTAGCGCATCATTAATGATGTCGTAGGGGGTTCTTTCAAAGGCACCCTCGATATCAACAAAGACACCTATTACTGAGAGACCCTTCTGCAGAAATGCCGGAAAGATACCATACATGCCAGCAGACTTAAACGGAGAGAATGAATGTACCGCCCATTCAAGTCTGCTGTTTGTAATCACTCTTTTTGCTGATTCCCACATACGTACACCAGCCCCACGATCCTGTGTAGTGGGATCAAGAGGTTTTGTTTCTGTCATACAACACTTGGGGAAGTGTGCTTGTTATCACTTTTGAGTGTTCTCAAAGTATCTTGGTTAGCTTATTTTGGCAGAATTTTGCTTACTCTACTTGCAGCCGGAATATTGTCTAGCTCTAGACAAGACCTTCTCCAGGCTTGTCTTTTGGCTTTTCTGACAAATTTGTGATACTCAGTAAGAGCTATCTTATAGGTATCCCAATTGCCAGATATTTTAGCAGCATTGAACAATCTCCTTGTGAGTGTCCGTTGCTTTGAGAGACTTCCATTCCACCAGAAAACCTTCCTGTTGGTTATGGTTCTTTTGGCATCATTGCTGTTCAGGTATGATTTAACCATAGCTTCAGTTAATGAAATGTTAAGACATTCTAATTGCCATGCACTGTGGATAGCTTTTTTAAAGTTTCTCACCTCTAGAGTTAGTATTCGAGATCTCATTGTGTGCATTGGCATCTAGGGCAGCTACAATGTTATCACTGCAGCTAAAGATTCCCTCAATTCCTTCTGCAGGTTCTTGATTTTTATATGGCAGATATACCGCCGCTATGATGATAGATTTTCCATTCCCTTATATATATCTATCTGTCAAAATTGCCATAGAGGCATCAGTTTTAATTTATGTTTGTATAGTAGGTAGGCCCTGGGATTGGTGGACACAGAAATAATGCCGTATCCGGGTTGCCCAATCCCCTGATCCTACCTCCAAATAGATAAGGTTCAAGTATTAGAATAATATTTATATCCTTACCTTTTATGTACTGTTGTGTATTATGAGAACAAGTCCTCTTCAGATATCATCGATTTAGTTTCTGTTTTTAATTTGTTTAGGACATTTTTGTTCCCAAGAGTATGGGGTTCTAAAAGGATTGCAGATAGTACCCGCTCTCCCTACAGCCGGCATTACTAACAGTGGGATGTCATCTCCCTCTCTAGACCTCCTGTTACCCTACCCATTTGCGCCCTACCCCCCCCCCTCCAGCCTTGGTCTGTGGTCATCCATTGAGGTTATTGTGGAGTCTACCAACTTACCAGAAACTCCCAGTTCAATCATAATTTTCCAAAGACTGTTCCTGTCCATGGAATCACAGAATAAATGATATATGGTGTATTAATTATTATTTACTCATTTTTTTATTCCTAATTTTTTAAGTTTTGATGTTTTTTCTTGAAAGATCAAATAATTTAAATTGTTTTAGGTTGAATATAACACCTGTGAGTTCTCCTGCTCAGACTTCTTCCCGTAAATTTTTAGGGAGGAAAAGGAAACGTACTTTCATTGAAGAATCTGATGAAACAGATCTTTCTAATTATTCTGTTACTTCTTCATCAAAATGTGACGTTGCCATCTCAGAAGTTTGTAGTGAAGGTCAATTCATTAAACTTCTTAATAAATCTACTAAGGTGTGTTACTGTTGCTATTTATTATATCTAGTTTTTTAATGACAGGAGTGATATAGAGTTTCTGTTGTAGGAAGTATCGCTTGGGGGTTGGCAACTAACTCGTAAAGCTGGAGATTCCTCCACAATTTACAAGTTTCATCGAAATATTAAAATGGAACCTGGGGCTACTATCACTGTTTGGTCTTCAGATGTTCCAGATAAATCTCATGAACCACCAGAAAGTTTACTTATGAAAGGTCAGCGCTGGATGGTTGCTGATACTATGACAACAGTTTTGTTGAATCCTGCTGGAGAAGTAAGTTTGTGTTCAAAATTGTTCTTATTGGTGTATCAGTGATCAGGAAATAGGTAAATTGAAACCGAAATGATGAAAATAGGGTATTTTTCAACAATTTAATTTGATATGTGGAATATATATTTTAAATCAATTGTTTATTACTCACACTTAATACATTTTTTTTTTTTTAAGAATAGCACCTTATAAGATATTATTCTAAACAAAATTATATTAGATCATATGTAAATATAACCTAGAATGCTTATTTTGCATTTGTTTCTTTTTATTTATTTTTTAAATTAAAATGAGTGTAAATACATTAACCTTCTGAAAACTGTCGGTCTGACTTTCGTATGTGACTAGATCTAGTAGTTTGACATTAAATATAATTGCATATTAATAGCTTTTCTAAAGTTAATTGTATTAGAATCTTCATATTTCGTGCTACGTTTCTCCATTTTATCCAAGTTTTTCATTATATTTTGTTTTCAGTATATCATTATAAGGGATTTAACTTCTTCTTCTTATTCTTCCACTCATTTGCCTCTCAGCGTGGGGCTGCTTCCAGCTATCGGTTCCATGCATCCCTGTTCCCAGCAACGTTCCTCATCTTTTCCAGAGTCTTCCCTTTTCGTCTTCCAATTTGTTCCAGATGACTAGTGTATGAGGTTCTTGGTCGCCCTCTAGGTCTTCTCCTCACCTGCCTCACATCTATGGTTTTAACTGGGTCTCTGTGGTGGTCCATCCAGCAGATATGCCCATACCACTTCAGCTGTCTTCTCTCCAGAGTTTCCAGCACGGGGCATATCATTAGCTCCTCCTTGATCCTGTCATATCGGACACAGTCTCTCCGGGTTTTCCCCACAATTCTAAGAAACTTCATCCCAGTGGTAGTAACACAGCTTTGTAACCTCTCATTTAGGACCCAACCCTCTGCTCCATATAGAAGTACCGGCTGGAAGACAGACTTGAACAGATGGAGCTTCACATCCTGTCCACTTCTTTTTCGGATTACGGTTATGCATATCGTATATTAGACGGACTTCTGCCGACTTGAAGTATTTTGCTTTTTTGGGAATTGATGGTCATTCCCTTCCTCTTCAATTCTTCATTCCACTCTGTTACTGCCTGCTGAAGTCGCTCGGGGGAATCTGCAATAAGAACGATGTCGTCTGCAAATAGGAGAAACTGTACTACTACAGGAAGCAAGTTCCAATGGCCCATATGCATCTGTGCTGTGCGCCTTTTGCAGATGGAAGGCAATCTCCTCCCTATAGACAATGAAGAGAAGGGGGGGGCTTAGGGCTTAGGGCTTCTTGTTTCACTCCTGTTTCGAAACAAACTAAACACTCCTGACTCTTTTCCATTCAAGTGTACAACACCTTTCGGCTCTTGATAAGTCTATTTTATAGCCTTCAAAAGCTTTATTGTGATGTTTTTCGCCTTCAAGGATTCCCAAATTTCATTTCGGGGAACCGAATCGAATGCTGCCTTCAAGTCTAAGATATAAGGGATTTAACTTCAAGTAATATTCTTGTTTTATTCATCAACATATTTATTGTCACCATTTTAGTTAGACTGACATCTGATTTGTAATAACTTGATAATGTAATATTAATGAGTTTGAATTACATTTAAAGGAAATGGCTATATCTGAACACAAAAAACAACAACTGAGTGACCGAACGTCATCAAGGCAAAGAGAAGGTAGTTTCTATCAAAAGAAATCATTTCTATCATCTTCTATGCGCCCTCCTGTAAGTATAGACCTCTAATATAAATAATAAATATGTTTATGTAAATAACTTTTTTTTTTATGTTTTATAACTTAATCCTAATTTTCAAAACTTCCTGTATATGACAATTTAATATTGTACATCTTATGCCATTATATTAAATTAAGAAAAGCCACATCTATAGACATTCTTTTGTCCTTGTTCAAACTTGTCTTATTTCCATTGAATAGTTATTAATTTATTATATTTATATTAACATATATTATATTAATTGAATTTATTTACTGTCTATCAAAATTTGAGGTCAGATGTTATGCCCCAGGATATGCTCTTTGCTGTGACTAGTGTCAGTAGTTATTTGATCAAATTTTGATACATTTGGTCAATTTCTTTTCAATATGAAGTTAAAGTAATTATTTCCTCTTCGGTAGAAATGAAATATCAATGACCATGGCTTTAAACTACGATACAGTAACCATTAATTTTTTCATATGGCAATTATGTTTTGGCATGTGATCAGCATTTAACTGTTGACTTCATCGGCTTCTATTGTTATATATGATCCATTTTTTATCACAACTTATTACCCGCCGAAGAAATGGTTCATATCTTTGACATGCAAGCAAAGGAACACAAATCATTTGACATTTCAACTGCTGACGTTGGTTCAGCTGATGTGAGACCAATAAATCAAGCTTTTTCACCTTTCTAGCAACGTCTAGCAATGGTCTTTTAACTTGTGCAGAGATCTGACTTAAGCCCTCTGATTTTTTTTTTTTTCTCTTCCTTGCCTTTTAGGCTACATACGGGGGGTTTTCCTGGTCCGGTGGAGAGGGCTGGGGCATTATGCCGAGTTAAAATTTCCACTGGGTATTGGGATTTGAACTCAAAATATTTTTCCATCAAAATTCGGTTATCAGGTTGCCGGGCAACAGGCGGCAGGATTTTCTTCCTTAATTGATGTTGGAGGCCGTCCATGGAGTAGATTCTCTAATGCTGTAGCTCCTGAAGGAAATTTATAAAACCAATGACATATGGTTCTTTCATTAGAACTCCCTTCGCCAAAAGCTTGATCAAAATTCCTTCCAGCCTGGACAGCGGAATGACCCCAAGTTTGAACTCATAAAAATAGATCGTTCAAAAATTCCTTGTTTCCATTGTCATATTTGAAATGAAACTTAAATCTGTATGTCTACTTGGGAATTAAACAAACACTGTTAGTAAATAATGGATTAGCAAGTGTTTTTTATAGATGGTACAGTGGTCTCCCACTAATCTGAATTAATTAAAATCCAGAGGGATTAGAATTAGTAAATTAATTGGATTACCGAATGGGAAAAACCGGTCATTTTATCAATTTTAATAAATCAGTTGAGTCATTTGCCAGTTTGAACAGGAAACAATTGTGGAAGAATTTTTCTCTACGACTCTATATGTTTTTTGGGATGCTAAATCTGAATTTGATGATCCTGAACGAATTTTACATTGCAGCTCAACTGATGTACATTAAAAAAAAAATCTTGCAAAAGTTGTAGTTAATTTTGTATACTTCAATATTAAATATAAAATTTTTGCACGTTTTTGTGATATCAAAAATCGCCAATTTTAGGATCTTTATAGCTATGTTACAGTTGGGTCCAGAAAAAATGTTTAGCACATTTTAAGCTGCTCTAAGTTGAATACAACAATGCTTTAAAAAGGAGATGTATAACATTAACCAAAAAAAAGTCCGAAATTTCAATTGTTTTTCAGGCACTGTGGCATATGAAATGTCAAAAAAAAAAAAAATTATTCTCAACATACACCTAACCATATTAATTTTTTTTTTTTTAATTATCCGCTTTTTGTAAGTTAGGCCTCTTTTTTTAGAACAATTTGACAGAGATATCTGTGCTCTACTTCTTTTGTATTCACTAGACTCCTTTACTGTGATTATGTCAATCATTAAGCAAATTTATGATCGGTTATTAGTTGAAATTATACTGTTTAGCACATTCTAGTTAGTTATATCCACTGTTAAAGAAATTGGTGGGGGGGGGAAACCGGTTAAATTAGCATTTAGAGCATTTTTTAGACTTAAGCATATTTGCTATAGTGAAGGTAACAAAAAAAGATAAAAGATAAAAAAAAAAAAGAGAAATGGTTTAAAGTACGATAATAACTGCTATGGAATGGAAAGTTGTAATTAGCTGGATAAATTCGCTTTTTAGTGATATTCACTGACAGTTGTTTCAAATTATCATTACCCTGAAGAAGTAAAGGTACTTGAATGAGGGTCCATCTTCCATCAAAAGTAGGTATCAAGTCCTTTAATAAGTTAAGTCAAAACCATTACATACACTAGTAGCAAAAATTTAGAATCATGCTAATTCGAAAATTGCTGAAAAAATTATGTTCTCAGTCCTGAAAATCAATCCAATATTACAAACCAAACTAATTTTTATCTTTTTTTTTTTCAGAGTGAAACACCAGGTGAAGAAAGGTGTGTGATTTGGTAATTTTGATATGATACATTTTTTTACAATCACATTCTTAACTTTAGTTCTGTTGTTTGTCCATAGTTTAAGAATCAATGGGTGTAAAGTTTTTGTTTATATATAATTAACTTTCAATTCTAATGTTTTCATGTAACCCATTATCATTATCTAAACACACACAAACATGTGAACAATTTTAAAGAATTTTTTTTTTTTACCATCATTTGAGTATCAATCAATTAATTTATGACATTAGTTTTAACTAATATTTATTTAAAAAAAAATCTTCTTTCCCTTTAATATTACTACTAAAGCTTTGTAATATTTTTAAGTTTGAAATAATTGTTTTATTACATTTTGGTTTTTTTTTTTTTTTTTGTTTTGTTTAGATCAGTAATTATTGTAGTTGTTTCAAGAAATAAATGGTTCAAAAATTTGCTAAAATCATTACAAATTTTGGTGTATTTTTTTTTTTTTTTTAATTCATGTATGTTAAGTAGAGTTTTTCTAGTTCTGTGTATGTTAATATTCTGACATTAGAATTTATCAGATAAATAATAACTAAATTATTCATATTAATGTAAAATATAACTTTAATTATTGAAAAAAGGATTATCCACTCCTGTATTAGTTTTTTATTTTCTGTTTCGTACATAAGTTTTTCATTAAAATACAAACACATTCATATTAAAAACAATTATGGTAATGATTAGTTATTTAAAGAAGAATAATACAATTGTATATAAATTCAAGCCGTGTGCCTAAACTGTCCATACTTTTACTGTAAAATTGTAATTTTGTAGATTGCCTAGAAATTCTTCAATTCAAGTGCCTTTGATATCTTACAAGTAGATTAAACTTAATGCTATACATTCTATTCTGGTGCATAGTCCTTTTGATTAGACTGAGTAGTACCTAATTCAATTCACTTTATGCAATATTCATCACATCCAAAGTTTTTCTCACCCAAATAAATGTTTTTTCACTGCTGGATCAATTGTCTTCCATTTACCACACATCATTAATCTTATCATAATCGATTGTTTGCTTATTATTAAGTACTTAAAAATTTTTAAACAATTTTAAGGGTTATAAGAAAATATATATTGGAGTATATTGAACTGATATCTTGTAGGGGAATTTATTTTATGAAGCTTTAAGGATTTTTGAAGCCTTGTGTGCTTCGTATAGCCATTGTCATTTACACTTATGTTAATGTATGTTTTAGTAGTAGAATGCCTTTAATTTTTGTTCAAAATATTATTCATAAACTAAAACTCAAAATGTTAATCTCATTTTGTAGTTTTATATTAGATAATTTTAAATTTAATACTGATTTTTTTTTCATAATTTCATAATTAATTATTTTCCATCATTAATAATTTGATGATAGTGAATGTAATTCTATCTTGATATAATGACTCTCTGGTTAAAGTTTAATTACAGATTATTTTTATTTAAAATCATCACAGATGTATCTGTAAGAATATTTTTTTCTTTTCTTTTTCTTTTTTTACTAACCAGCAATAAAATTCGAACATAAAATTAAATTTTCGATCTGCAAATTGCTTTGCAATGAGAATTTAATTAAAATTTATGTAGTTTTAAACTTCATGAAAAACTCTAAAAAATCAGTATTAATTCTTTTTTCTGTGATATGGAGGGATTTTCCTGATTTAAATAGATAGTGGAAATCATGATCTTTTACAAGTTCTGAATTGTCTAAGAGTTTATTCCATTATTATTCTTCCATATTTTGGATAGTATACTGTTTAATGCAAGTGCTTCCCAATTTATCATATGACATTGTCTTCTGATTCCTCAGGTGGTATTGAGTTTTTCTGTTTAAACAAACTACTTATCACTTGCAGTCCGAATTAATGCACATATTAAGTAGTTGTCTTGTCGAGGTTGGAAAAATATTTCACTTCCTTTGTGTAATATATTGTTTCCAGATTTTCTTTTTAACAATAACTTGCAAAAAATTTGTTATATTAACATTTTAAATCCGCGAACATATGAGGTCAACTATAGGAAAAATTATTTTGTTGTATGTGTGTTTAAATACCAAAAACTTCATTTTTACATTTCTTCTTAGTAAATTAGAAACTGATTAGTGAATAAATGTCTTTATTCTTACTCAAGATTTTTATTTTTTAATTTTCTGTTCAGATTTTATTAAAATTATTAGAAATAACGAGTTTAATCTCTTCAGTGATGTTATATCAATTTACACATTTTAAATTATTTAGCTCTGTGAATACATTACATAAGCATGAGTTAGGGTTAACAGTTTACTGTGTTAATTAATTCATAATAGTTTAAAAATTATAACCAATATATTTTTAGATAATACAGAATAACCATGGTTGTAAATATTCTCTTACTGTATTGAAATTTTCTTTTTTCACTTTCATTCATTCATCTTTTGTTATTCACCAATGTATTTGCATTCATCACTTATAATTCAACTTTCTAGTAGATTCAAAACCTTTCTAGAATAGTGTTTTTGCGTAGATAGTCGTATATCGAATATTACTTTAAAATTATTCCATATATTTTAATAAGTATTCCATTTTAACTGCTCATGGTCAACCCATAATCCTGATTTTTTGGTGGTTTCATCTTTAGTTCATGGTTGGCCATGCTTAATTAACATTCAGTTGTATCATTTAAATTAATTTTGTGACATTTTCCTTCAATAACTTATGTTTTCATTTTTTTTTTTTTTAATTTTAATTTTGGCTTTATGTATAACCTTATCCTGAAATATCAGGTTTTTAACAACTGAAGCCATACTTACTGTGATCATATGTAATAACTGAGAATTATACTGTAGAGCAAATAAGCTTCCATTTACTCAAAAATGAAAATTCGTGATGTATGGTAACGTTTATTCTATACCATGTTTCATATTTTAACCCTTTATTTGTACGAAGCCTGAATCAAGGTCAGATCCCGTGTGCGGGGGCTACTTTCTGAAGCCACTAGTGTCACAGCCAGCCCGAGCCATTATATTGGCTTTGCGCATCTAAAGGGTTAAAAAATTCTTTCTGGTTTCAAGATAAGGTATTTGTTTTCTAGTTGGTTGATATTATTGATACCATATATTAATGTTCAAGTTTACTAATAGCAATTCTTTTTATCATTTAATTATAATTGACCGCTATATACTGCACAAATTAAATTCCCTGTTTACTTTTAACACATTTTCATTCAATATTTGTAATTATTATAAAAAGTAATTCAAGTTTGTAATGTCAGGGGCATATTAAGTTATTTTTTCAAGAAATTAAATTTGCCTTTTATTCATATATATATAAATTATATTGATATAATGAAACATGGCTTGCTGGAGATCCTATTTAAAATCGAAGTTCGATTTATGCTCATGAAAATCAAATTATTCTTAATTTATCATTAATTTAATTATAAGGTACAAATTAAAGTTATTATCATGCAGTTAAATGGAATTAATTTTCTGTAATACATTATTAAGACGTTTTGATGAACCGATTAGATTATAATATCATTTTAGTTAAGAAATAAATTTGTTAATTAATTTATTTACTTTTTCAAGAAGATAATATGATAACTTAAATGAAAATATTTACCAAAGTAGTTGTGCCATTTTATAGATTATCAATTTGCGTTTTTTTAGTGGTATGTTTTCATTTAGTCATTTTTTTCTATTTGATTAATCTATATCAGAGGAATTACCTGTCCCGGATGTGTGCTAGCAGATCCCAAATTATGGTTCTGTGATTTCTAAATTCTGTTGATTAAAGCTTAGCATTTTAATGTGACAAAACAGTTACAAAGAATCAAGGATGTTTAAATTAATAAAACAAGAAATTAAATTCTTAAAAAGATCTTACTTTATTCACTTATCCATTATTGTTAGGTTAGATCTTATAAGGTTGTTCTTGTCTTGCTGTGAAATATATTAAAGGATATATAAATAATCAATAGATTACAAGGAAATTTTATTTATTTAACATTTGATCAATAATAATTGTCTTTAATTGTTTCACTACTAGAGCTTGAAAAAAACTGAGTAGGAAAACCAGAAGTACATTAAGGTATAGTAACTTTAATAGAATAAAAAACTGATTGCTTCATTATGTATGTCAAATTGAACATGATTACATTTTTTTAATTGTTTAGTTTTATAGTTTGGTTTAATTTATTTTAGGTAAATTTCTAATATGTGGAATCTTATTTGGTTCCATTTCACCTGTGTCTGTTTTTTTCTAATCTTGTACAAAAAAAACTTGATAATTTAATTAATCTACAACTAATGATAATTTCCAATTTATTGGTTTTAAACTAAAACATGATCAACTAGCTTTCTCAAGATTCAGTAGGGGAATAGGTATGATAATAAATTATCATTTTATGTTTATTTAATAATAAATAAGCCTGTTTCATTAAAAAAAAAAAATTATTTTTTTATGAAATCGAGCTCATATTCATTGGTTAAAGTAATGTTAGTTTGTATCTTTTTTAATATTATAATTTTTTTGCTATTTCTATGTTGATTTAATTAATGTAGTTAAGTTATTAATACAGGAAACATATTCTTACATTCCGTTTCATCTTCATCATAGCCTTTTGTATTTAATCTTGTGGTATCAAAGAATTTGTTTGTGTTTTTCTCTGTTTGATTTAATGTATAATCTACTGTTAATTATATTTATCCTCTTAGTGCCATTATTTTTCCATTTTTTTTATAATAATCCTTCCTGAAGTTAACAATCCATTCAATATAACTGCACTCTATGGTTTTATATTGTATTTACTTATTAAATCCATTATTGTTTCTAAATTTAGACGACTATGTTTACTCATACCAGTTTTATTTGAAGGTGTATAAAAACACAATTTTAAAATAAAATTCTCTCCATTGGTTTTTTATAATTTAAATGTAAACAAACAAATAAACATATGTATAAAATAATTTTTTAAAAAATAATGTTTTTTAAAAATTTAGTATTTATTTGACTGCACCCTCCGACCAACTTCTCATATGTATAAAATAGTTTGAAGAAATAAATTAAATTTAACTTGTTAATATTTTTTTTTAAATTATAAAAATTTGTAGAATGATAAAACTGGTGGTCAATTTACATGCTAATCTTTTCATACAATTATACAGCTATTGGTCTTGCTTCCTAAAGAAGCTGCAAAAAAAAAAAAAAAAAAGACTGAA